TTTTGTTTTACATGGGCTGGAAGGAAGGATAATATGGCCATGGGAATGCTTACTCCCTGGAAGACACTCTTGTGAGAAGGATGGGAACTAATGAAAATTGAGGAATTTATTTTGTGCCATTTTCATACGCATGATCTTAGTTATTAGTCACAGTAATGCTGTGATTTATGCAGTTTTCTGAATCTCCTGAAATTCCAGCAAATTGACAAATTCAGGGTTACACAGATGCAAAGTGATGGCTTAAGCTGACTTTAAATTTGTTCTGTCTTGGTTTTAAGTGTTAAAAACATAGGACTTTAGACCTTGTTGACCTCAGAGTTTTCCAGTACAAGCTGTTGCTTGGAGGTAGATGCTTTTAGCATTTCAGGTAAGTAAATAAAGGGGAGTAAAAAGAGGCCTGAATTCTGTAAAATCTAACCATTTATAGGAAACGGGAAGTTTGTCTTTTATAAAGCATGAAACCCAGAAAAGGCTGTTCTTTCAGATATGTAGAATGAGTGTATGGCCGAAAGGATCTTTGTGGCAAGGCTATAACGCAATAGCAGTTTGCCATGACCTTTCTCAGTGTGGTGGGCAGGAGGGAAATCACCGGCCAATACAGCTGGCAACATGTGATTCTTATTTTCAAAAAAAGAACTGTTGGGTTCTTTTCTCAAAGTCACTGCCTAGAGATAAGCAGTTAAACAGACTCAAGTTCTGAGAAGCACAGCATGTGTGTTAGGGGCACTTACACCCAAGTGGATCTAGATTGAATTGTTTGACCCAGAAGGGAGGACCACAGTATTCTGTTAGGTCGCTGGCCTTAACTGTGTTTTTTTTCATATTCAGCATTTACTGATTTAGAAACAACATCAGCAACAGCAGTAGTCTTTGATAATGAGAAAGAAAGGATATTTATACAATCTTCACAAAGTTGATTAAAAAAGAAAAAAGCCTAGAGGGACAGCCAGTATCTATATGGTAGAACCAAGTATCCAAAAGATTGTCTAAATTCTACATATCTACTAATGGGACAAATGTAATAGGAATAAATATGAAGCCCTGCCTTGAGATTAAAAAAAAAAAATAGATTGGTAGATATTGAGAGGGGAGAGGGGAGGGCTTGGCAGTACTGTGACTGAAAAAAAAGCTGGATATTTTGGTGTAATAAAGTTAGTGTGGTGTCTAGGCTGACTTGCAGAAGCCTTGTGCCCTGATTAGGATAATTAACATTTTTCACTGTTCTCTACCTTCTCCAGAGATGTGTGAAGGTAGAGATAGAATTTCACCGAGTTGCCCAGGCTGGTCTTGAACTTAGGGATCATCCTGCTTCAGCCTCCCAACAACCTGGGCAATGCATTTTTAGAAAGCTCAAGAACTGAAAACACTGAAGCTATTACAGAGTGGGTAGCTGGATGGGGCTAAATGTGGACATCATGCTGTACTGGTAATGGCTCGAACAACTGGGTATATTTAGTATAGAGAGAAAAAGAAAAATAATATGTTGGATTTTTGGAGATCTACAAAATGATCTCCACTGTAGGCAGAACTTACGTTATTCCACAAGAAGTGTATGTACATTACAGGGGTAATGTATTTAGTTCTACATAAGGCTTTTTAGACATTTTATAAATCCATTACATTTCCAAATAGGGAGCCCCATCTCTAGAGCTAAAAGCAATCTCTGAGATTAGAACCACATGACTGCTCCAGGCAACACTTTCCAGTGGGCAAGTTTTAAAATTTTTTTGTCTTGACAAACCTTAGATCAAAAGTTTTCAAAAGTGTGGTCTACAATCCACCATGGAATGGGGGTGGGGATGAGTCCTGTAGACCCTTTCAGGTGGGCTCAGTGAGGTAAAAAAATCTGTTATCAGGACTTAATTCGTCCTTTCCTCTCTGCATTGACATTTGAACTGATGGTAAAAAGCCAAGGTGAGTGATCAGTGACTTATGATCAAGGAAGGGGCTATTTCATTTTTCAGAAAACCAAACCTTAACTTTTACTCATGTTCTTGATGAAAGAGTAAAAATTACTGATTTTGTAAAATCTTGATCCTTCCATACATGGCCTTTTAATATGCTGTGAGAGAAAATGGCAGGTAAAGCACTTCTGCCACGCAAGATGGTTGTCTCAAGGGAAAGTCTGTGTGTGGTTACTTGAGTGATGTGCTGAACTGTCCACTTTTTGGGGGGTGAAATAGCATTTGTACTTGAGAATAAGTGATGAACGATAGTTATTGAGACTAAGGTATTTGGCAGATATGTCCTCCAAAGTGGGCAGAGTGAGCTTGTCAAAGAAAGCTGTGACAGTGTCTCTCCAGTGTTTGTCTTTCTGGTGTCTAGAACCTATTAATTTATTTACTTATGGTACTGGGAATCAAACCTGGAGCACTCTACTACTGAGCTGATTCTTAGCCCCTTTTTATTTTGAGATAGGATTTTACTGAGTTGACCAGGCTGGTCTTGAACTTAGGGATCCTCTTACTTCAGCCTCCCAACATCCTGGGCATATGGGTGTGTGCCACTGTGCCTGGTCTGTGTTGTCCAATTTTAATGCTTTTGACTAACTCGTTTTAAATTCTTAAAAAAAAAAAAAGTCACCCAGAGTCCCATTGTCATAGAATTGATTTAGTATTGTAAAAGTTGTATAGAATACTTACGTGTTATTTATGTTTGTCCACTTTGATTGATTTTACTAAACATCTTAGTTCTGTCACACTTTGGAGATTCCTTTAGTCTTTTGTCTTTTGAGTTTATGGCTTTTATTTCTTAGAGGTTGTTTGTTTTCTCTAACCTTGTGTTCAGCATATGAGGGATTTCCATTTTGGGTCATCTTCTTTCAACAAATATTTGAGAGCTGTGTTAGATGTCTAGCAACCCCCCCCCCCCCCACCTTTCTCAAACAGCCATTGTTGAAATTATTTGAACAGAGAACTATCTTTTCAGGGATGTTAAAAAAAAATTCTTTTCTAGTTTGTATCTTACAATGGATCACCCCTGTGTTCTACCTAAGAGCATAAGAGTTTATGATATGGGAAAACTTCCAAGAAGTATCTGGCAGAATCAAATGATTTTACTTTTAGAATTTGTTGGATTTTGCAGGCTTATTTGTCACTCAAATTGAAGATAGTCACATTCGGTTTTCTCACCCTACTTTCTGATTGGAGCCTTGGGAGTAAGTAGGCAAGAAACCTGTTAGTTTCTCAGCACAAAGGTTTGTGCCATTTGTTAGTTCATTCAGTTAGAAAAACATTTATTAAGCATGATGCTACTCTAAGGAGTTAAAAGAGCGATGTTGCTTCTATTTAGTGCTTATTTATTCCCGTGGTTAATATGGTCAAATCTTTATGACGTTTATGATTTTATACTCATAAAATTTCTTAATTTGGAGCCTCAAGAGTTGCATTCACATTGTTTGTTTTATATTTCCACCAGTAGAGTGAGCACAGGTGTAGGTAGGTTCAGTAGACAGTGGTGATAGAATTGGTGCATGGTACCAATTGGTACAGCTTAGATGATCTATCAGTTATGAAAATTGCACGTGATGAGTTATGATAAAGTCTTAAAATTATTTTTATAAGTTTTTCTCTAAAAAAAATCAACATTTTATCTTGAATATTTAAAATGTGAAAAGTGCTATATAGAAATATCTTCCTTTCAATAAACATTATTAAATAAATTTATTTGTTAATTCACATAGATTTTTATAAACTATAGTTCATCAGTTCCTGGAACAAAAGACAGTATTATAGATATTAACATGATCAATACATAGGAAAAAAAAAAAGGAAATGTTAGCAGTGAAGCAATAATGATAGAGTGAAGAAAATGGAAATTGAAGCCAGCAAAGACTGCACTGGAATATCCACATGGCAGTAGCAGTCTTTTTCAGCATAGTTAAGTTTAAATGGTTACCATTTGATACTGTACCTTTAGGTCTTTTTATGATAATAATGTCCTAATGGGGCACACATAATGAGGCCTGAGAGATCTCCCTACAAAATAAATTACTTTTAAGTGATGACTCTTATTTAAACAAGATTTTTTAAAAAAGTGTAAATATTATGAGAAAAATTAAAACTCCAAATATGTAAGTCAGCATAACTCTAAAAGGCAAATTGAATGTTATACAGTATCTGTTGGCTTTTGATTGTGAATTTTTAAAAAATATTTTTAAAGTCATTGATATTTATTTATTTACTAATTATTTATTGTGCTAAGAATCAAACCCAGTGCCTCACACATGCTAGGCAAGTGCTATATCGCTGAGCTCCAGCCCCAGCCCATGTTTTTTTTTTTTTAATAAGAAGATCATATATATCCTTAATAGACAGCATCTAATATATTGACCCTTGTGCTCAAATTCTTTTTGACCCGGCAGTTGTTTAAAGTGTCTCTGAGGGATTCTTTCCATATGTAAAAACAATATCAATCATTTCTTGCTAGCAATTCCATGCCCTAGTATCTTTCTCATTTTTATTCTAAAAATAAATTAAAATACACTCTTGTCTATAAAATATTATTCATTTCAAGGAGTTTCTTTATTTTTTGAATTTTGTCTTCAATCCATTTCTTTATAAACTCATCTTTAAACTTTTGTGTCTTTAAAGCACAGTCTGGTTTTTCAAGATTCAAGTCTGGAATAGAATCTTATTTTGTGATATAAACTTATTGGTCATGTACGAAGAATTTAATCTTTATACATCAAGTCAAAGGATGAAAAATTTGATCACTAAAAAGCTTTTTTCACATGTTTCCAATTCATCGAAAAATAAGGAATATTTTGCAGGATTGCAGCTGTAAAACACCATAGTAGATTTTCCTACTGTATGGTGTATACGAATTTTAGTAAGCCCTTATTCACTCATTCTTTAATCAAATATTAAGTATTCAATTTGTGCCAATCACTACACTTAGCCCTGTAATATATATAGTTATATATATTATATATATATTATATATATATATATATATATATATATATATATATATATATATATAATATAGTTGTGAATGAAAACAAACTTGGTTTGTGCAATTATTGAATTTAGGTTATTGATAGGGCAAAGAAAGACAATAAAATCATACAAATAAAAAAATAGCAACTAAATACACATGCAAGTCGTATAGTGCTATGTAACATAGAGATATAACATAAGAGGAGGTCAGGGAAGTGGTTTGAGGAAGTGCTGTACCTACTGATACAGTGTGTGTGTGTGTGTGTCTGTCTGTCTGTCTGACTGTCTGGAAATTAAACCAAGGACTCACTCATCTAAATATGTTCTTCACTGAGCTCCAGATCCAGACCTGAACTGAGATTCGGAAAATAGAATAAACTTAAATCAAATGAAGAGAAGAAGACTAACAACATTGACAGAAAGGAGGGTAGTCCTTGGCTGCTGTAGATCTATCTCAGGATGTCTCATGGAAGCTTTGGTGGAATATTTGGCAGTGTGGTATCAGGTGAGCTTGATCTGGGGAGAGATAAGGGTAGATCAGGCAGAGTCATGTTGCAGATAGGTTTCTAGTCCATAATATTTAAAGATTTGGGTCTTTGTCTTACAAACAGGGAGAGTCTATTTTACATATTTTAATCAGGAGCCCTGCAGAAGTGATTGGATGGGGTTGACAAGAATGGTATGTATTTGGTACAATGGTTCCAATGGTATGTATCTGGCATTGTACCGTGTGTTCAAGTTAGCCAAAGTGGGTATAACCAAAAGTAGACATAGGCATTTTGGTTACAAAGCTCTTCCAGTGCGCCAAAGAGATCATGAGGCTGTTTTCATTGTCTTATGTCCTCATTCTTGTGAAGATCCTTGGGACAGGGTCTCAATCCTTTCTTGAGGATGGATTCTAGCATGGTTTCATGTCAGGAGTCTGAAGCTTGTTTCTTTCAAGGTTTACTGTAACATTAGTTCAGAGGATTGGATTTCTTTGGATGATTAATACTGACTCACAATCTAAAAGCAAGTATATGAAGGTTAATATTCTTAACTGTGTATTGTGATATGCTTTTGGAAGTCTGATTAAAAATGTATATGAAATTAACATGATCCTTAATTTTCTATAGCTGCACTTTGTGCTACTTATTACTTTGTCAGTGAAAACTTCTGACATGAACAAACAACTAAAAGTAAATATAATTTGAAATATTTGTTAGTGCTGAGTAATTCTTGATGTGCATATTAGGTATAGCTTATCTTTCAGATTTTAAAATTAATTCTATACTTCGGCTTAAATTCTGCTTCTTAATCATTGTAACTAACAATACCCTTGAAAATGCAGTTTATGATAAGCAAAGTAACCTTGGTCAGCTGTTATTTATCAGCAATCTATGATCCTATGTGTATTTGGCATTTATCTGTACTGAAGCTATAGCAGAAAACTAGTGCCCTCTTTGGCCAGTGTGACTGAGTGTGAGAGATGATACCTGCAGCCTTTAGTTGAATAGCCACCTGTTTAGATTGTCTGTTCTTAAATGTAGCAGTTCATGTCACATCACTCAAAAGCAGCCTTTGTAGCTGTATCGAACTCTGCTTTGGTTCAGTAAATAAACAAAAGTGTTTCTTTTTCATATTTGATCGCTCTATTCCTAAGTTTCCTTTTGTTGTTGACATTTTCCGCTTTCCCTTTTCTTTTTTGGTACTGTGTATTGGACCCAGGGGGCACTTTATCCACTGGGCCCCATCCTCAGCCCTTTTAATTTTTTATTTTGAAACAGGGTCTCACTAAGTTGCTGAGGCTGGCTTTGAACCATCATTCCTACCTCAGCTTCCTGAGCCACTGGGATTATAGGTGTGCACCACCATAGCCACCCTTTGTGTGTAGGATTTTGGTTGAGGAAAATGAATCCATTATGGGCAAGTGAATGATCTGAGTTGTTAAATACATAGTTATGCCTCTCTCTGAAATATAAAAGTAAAACTATGTGGGAGGGGATTATTCAGTTTATTTATTTTTTTTTGATGCACACTTTCACATAGTGCTGATGGGAAAAGAATGAAGTGGATATGATCAGAGATTACGAGCTGGAGGAGCAGGAATTAAGTGCCTGGGGGTTAGCAAGTCCAAAGTATTTGAACCCAGTCATAGCTCATGAATCTGTGGTAGTACCTGTTTCTTTTTAAATATATAAGAATTCTGAGCTGGGCACCATGGCGCATGCCTGTAATCCCAGCAGCTTGGCGAGGCTAAGGCAGGAGAATCGTGAGTTCAAAGCCAGCCTCAGCAATGGTGAGGTGCTAAGCAACTCAGTGAGACCCTGTCTCTAAATAAAAGACGAAATAGGATGGGGATGTGGCTCAGTGGTTGAGTGTCCCTGAGTTCAATCCCTGGTACCCTCTACCCCGCACCTCAAAGAATTTCTGATGACTATTCTGATAAATTTACAAAGTTCAACTCTTGTCATTGCACTTTTTCTCCTAAGAAAAACATTTTCATTTTTTCTTCTTTCATTATACCATGTCTTAATTGAATGAAAAAATATTTTATTCTTTGGATGTTATAGGATTAATTAATATTGTTAGTGTGAATTTGATTTCCCTAATCTAGTCAAGACTTAGCAGTTTGAAGGTATTACTGGAAGATCAGTTTATACTAGGGAAGAATGTATTTCATAAAAATTTTAAGAATACAGTGTTGGGTACCGTAGCACACGTCTGTAATCCCAGAGGCTCAGGAGGCTGAGGCAGGAGAATCATGAGTTCAAAGCCAGCCTCAGCAATGGTGAGGTGCTAAACAACTCAGTGAGACCCTGTCTCTACATAAAATACAAAATAGGGCTGGGGATGTGACTCAGTGGTCGAGTGCCCCTGAGTTCAATCCCAGTACCCCCACCTCCCAATTTTAAGAATACAGTATGAGTTTAATACATATAAAAGCAAAAATTGTCCTCAGTGTACTTTCCTATTTAGAAGACCTTTTGTAAATACTTCTTTTCTATATTCTTTAAAATTACTCACTTTATAAACAGTGCAGTTATTTGTGAATTTTTATTATGTGAAGAGAGATAAGTAATGAGTCTTAGATTTTATGGCTTTTTTAATTCATAAAGATGATATTATAATTAGCTAATTGATTTATAAATACATGCTTTTAGTATCTTCTGTTACATGTAAGCCTATTTTTGTTTTTGCAAGCATACTAGGCAGTTTTGTTTATATTCAGTTACTATTTGAGAAGAAACAGTTTGTTAAGCAAAGGTAAACTTCAGTCTTGGTATTGTCCTGCAAGTCACAACAAATACTGAAATACTGTATTTTGCAGTTAAAAAAAAAAAAAAATGTCTGGATTTAATAAGACTGTTCTGACCAGTGGAACTTGACCTTTTATCAATTATAATGTTGAGATATACAGTTAAGTAGAAAAATAGTTGGGGGGAGGGGGGACACCTGGTCCTAAAGTACAATTTATAAAGAATTGCATATAAAAATTAAGTTCATCAAATTGTGCTTGAGGTATAGCCTAGTGGTAGAGCATGTGCTTAGCATGTGCAAGGCCCTGGTTTCAACCCTCAGCACCAGTGGCGTGGGAATCATCAAATTTTATTATTTCTGTAATTAATGAGAAGATACATGAAATTTTATTGCTTCTGAAACAATCTTAGAGTTACTATCTAGTACTGATGCAGATCTTTTCAGATCATTGATTAAATAATATCTAGGTCAAGTTGAAGACATGACAATATTGAAAAATTCAAAATATATTTGGGCCTGAAAGACATTGAGCATGAAATGGCCCTTACTCGCAAGAGGAAATCCATAGATGGAGTTTACATAAATAACCATGCAGCCTTACCCATACCCAACCCTGTAGTATTAACTTACACCTATGTGGATACTCTTGCGTCAAAAGACAAAATTACAACAAATTTAATTATAGATCTAATTGGCTTTTATTCATGATTCATGAATTGGGGCGGCCTCCATTCTACAAAATAGAATGAGAACTCCCAATTGGCAGCCGCAGTCCAGTGTGCTTTTTTTAGGTGGGAACAAGGAAACAGAACAGAAGGAAAAAGCTGTTGGGTTGGCATCAGGTTACTTGAGGTTACTTTTTTTTGATAAGGGTCAAAGAAGAGGAGATTTCTTGTTCTGACTCAGATTGGAATCTCTTGTTTTCAGAAAAGACAGGTCTGTTTGTGATCTTCTGCTCCTTTAAAGGTCTTTTGATTTTGTGGCATTTAGCACGAGTGACTCCATTTTGTTTAACACTTGAAAGATTGTTTTTCTTTTCATATGTTTTTCTTTTCATATGAACCACTCACAAGAACATAGTCATTGACTGAGAACAGTAGGTTAGAATATGGTATGGAGAGGAAGGGAGAGACAGCATATGGATAAATAGTGAAGAAGCTTGTTGAGGGAAAGGACTAGGAAAAAATGAGTGGATTCACTCAGGTTATTTATAACATAAGTATAATTAGACCATTCAAGCTGCATCTCTTTGGTTTGTTGGTTTAGATATGGTTTTTCTGGGAAGGCTTTCCTGGCCCTCCAGTTTGAGCAGGTGCCCTGACCATTGTTTGGCATCTTATGCTTAACCCACAATGACTTTGCCTGTTTTTGTTGTTGTTGGTTGAATCTAGCTCCCCTGTAGATGGTAAGCTTCTTTTGAGGGAGGGGTTTTCTATTACTCATCTTTTAATCCTCAGGGTCCAGCAGTTAGTAGGCACTCAGTAAAGGTTTGTTGAATTTAATTGCTTTATTTAGTTTCCAGATATTTTTGGGAGCAGCTATGTGGGACTATTTAAATGTTAATCAGAAGATCTGGGGGTTAGTACTGGGAATTTCCTGAGAATTGTATCAAACTCCAAGATTTTCAAACTGTGTTCTACCAAGACCTTACATGCTCCCAGAACTGCTTCAGGAGTTGACACTACAAGTAGAAAGTCTTTATCCACTTTTATCCATTTTATATTAGAGGCCATATTGTAGCCAACATGCTGCTAAAAAGTTTGCGAAATGAAGGTCTGTCCTCTTTCTGCAGATGGGAGCTGGTATCCAAGGGGCCTAAGTGACTTGTTCCCGTTCACACAACCAAGTAGAAAGAGAAGCAGATCCAGCTTCTCCTTGCTTTACTTTGCACTGTTTCCTGCCAGGCCACTCAGCGCAAGGCCAGAACAATTGCAGTGCTCTCCAGCTTGTTTTGATGAGAATTTATCACTATTGTGATGTTTCTGGCCCACACAAATGGTTTCATTTTGACCTATTTTTTCATTCTATAGCATTAAAATGTATGTTGATAAAAAGAATAACAGTTAAAAAAAAAAGCTTGGGGCTTAAAAGTTAGTTACTATTTTTTAAAGATTTATTTGGGCCTTCTAAATTCCTTTTGAAATTTCTGTCTATTTGTAATGGAACTTGACCTGACAATGTGTTGGTGATTTGAATCATAGGGTTATTGGAAAACTCAGCTATAAACATGGCATAATTATTTCTGAGTTTATATTATTTTTGTTC